AGATGGTTTCTTCAAGCTCTCCATGCAAGAACGCAGTATTAACGACTAGCTGCTCTAATTCCAAATTGAATTGAACCACTAGTGCTAGACTATCCTAATGGAGCAGTGCTTCACGACGGACGAGAAGATTTTGTTGAAGTCGATTCCTTCTACCTGAGTGAATCCCTTTGCAACGAGTCTAACTTTGTACCTGATCTTCTCAATACCTGGTGTGCCTTCCTTCCTCTTAAAGGTCCACTTGCAACCAACCACTCGTTTGTCCTTTAGTCGATCCACAAGTTCCCAGGTTATGTTCTTCATCAGAGAAGTCATTTCCTCATCCATTGCCTCTTCCCACCTGAGTCTTTCCTTGCTCTTTAGGGCTTCCTTGTAGTTGCTCGGTTCTGTTTCTTCTATCTCTTTGACAACACTTAAAGCATATGAGATCATATTTGCATGGGCGTATCTCTCTGGAGGTCTGATAGTTCTTCTTTGTCTGTCCCTTACCAAACTGTAGTCATCAGATCTTCTTTCTGGCTCAATCACTTGCTGCTCCTCTGCCACTTCATCCTGATCGTTCACAACAGTCCTTTGATCTGTCAAAGTAGGTTGTTGTTGTAGCTCCACCTCAAACGAAGAATCATTCTTGGTGATATTGTTTTTGGCAGCATGGCTGCATGGCTATACAGATTCAGCTATACAGATTCACCATTTTGGACTCATCAAATGTCACATCTCTACTGATGATGCATTTCTGTTGATCTAGGCACCAGAATTTGTAGCCCTTGGTTCCAGCTGGGTATCCGATGAAAAGGCACTTCAGGGCCCTTGCTTCCAGCTTATTCTGTCTAACATGAGCATACACAGTACATCCAAAAGCTTTGAGATTATCATAGTTACATGGTTTCCCGTACCACATCTCTGAAGGTGCTTCATATCGATAGCAATTGATGGACATCTGTTGATAAGGTAGAAAACGGTTAACACAGCTTCACCCCAAAAACTTTTGGGTAGACCTGCATTTAGTAGTATGCACCTCACTCTCTCTAGGAGAGTCCTGTTCATCCTCTCAGCCAAGTCATTCTGTTGAGGAGTGTTTCAGACTGTTTTGTGCCTTATGATGCCATTCCTCCTGCATAGCTCCTCAAACTGCTCTGAACAATACTCTAAGCCGTTGTCAGTTCTCAAGTGCTTCAACTTGGTTTCCATCTTATTTTCTGTGACAGTTAGCCAGTCCCTGAACCTCTGAAAGGCTTCATCCTTTGATTTAAGGATGAAAACCCATACCTTCCTGGTATAGTCATCTATGATGGACATGAAGTATCTCCCTCCTCCATGAGTCTGAGTTCTGGCTGGCCCCCATAGATCGCTGTGAACATAATCAAGGGGTTTCTTTGATGAGTGAGTTCCGGTAAAGAACTTCACCCTAGTGGCCTTCCCCAAAACACATTGTTCACAGAATCAGAATTCTAGTTTGCTGACTTTGCTGACTCGATCTCCACATAATAGACTCTGCTTGGACAGTTCTTGTAAGCCTCTTTCACTTACATGCCCCAGTCTCATGTGCCATAGTCTGGTCCTGTCAAGTTCTGATTGAACTGCATTTGAGAAGTTGCCGATCACGGCTCTTCCAACTAGTGAGTATAGTTCATTCTTTTTGACTCCTTTCATGATTATGAGAGAACCTTTGGATACTCTGATGCAGTCATTCTCTGCCTTGAATGAGTATCCACTTGACTCCAGCGTACCTAGAGAGATCAAATTTTTTTTGAGTTCCGAGACATACTTGACGTGCTGCAGTATCCTTTCAGCTCCATCGAATATCTTGATTCTGATTGTCCCGCTACTGACTACCATGCAAGCTTTATTATCACCAAGTAGAACAAACCCACCGTTCTCCAGCTGCAGTGACTCGAACCAGTATTTGTGAGGGCACATGTGGAAGGAGAACCCTGAGTCAAGGATCCACTCCCTGCTAGATTCATATTCTGTGATCACCAGAGCTTTGGCTTAATCATAGCCATCTGAAGCTACGCTTGCCTCTCCAGAATCTCTGGGCTTCTCCTGAAAAATTTTCTTTCTATTCGGACAGTTTCTTCTAAAGTGACCTTCCTTGTGGCAGTGGTAACACTTGTTAGATCTCTTAGAAGACTGACTTTTGCCCTTCCTTCTGGACTTTGATCTGCTCTGATCACTTTTAAAGCCTTTCTTACTCGATCTTCCTCTAACTGTCAGACTATCTCCATTGGTTTCCTCTTTCATATCGTGCTTCTTCTGAAGTTATTTAGCTCTAATAAGAGATTGAACCTTCTCCAGAGTAATAGTCTGCGCCCTTCCATATAACATCGCATACTTGAAATGCTCGTAGCTCTTAGGAATAGAGTTTAGCAACAGTAGTGCCTTGTCCTCATCGTCCATCTTGACGTCGATGTTCTCGAGATCGTCGATGATCTTGTTGAACTCGTCAATCTGCTCTGAGACGGATTTGTCTTCATGCATTTTGAAGGAGTATAGGCGCTGCTTCAGAAAAAGTCTATTAGCCAAAGACTTTGTCAGGTAGAGTACCTCGAGTTTGGCCCAAAGTGCTTGAGCCGTTGTCTCCCTCGACAACTTTGTCGCCCAAGCGTCGCCCAAGCTCAGGATTATCAAACTGCGGGCCTTGTCCAGTATGCCGATCTTCTCCTTCTTGGTCATTGACCGACGACTTTATATATGCTTAACAATATAAGATATGTATGAATGTAATAAATATTCAATGATTGTAAAGTCACACTTATCAACGCAAGTATACGTATCACTCAAGTAATATAGGGCTGTAATGGAGTCCTAGATATCGATCCCACAGGTAGTGGTTTAGAACTGTGAACTAAGATTTTAGAAAAGCAATACTTTAATCGCAACAACGAAGTTCAATTTGCTTATCTGTCACTAATAGACAATTGAAATAAATATGTAATTTTAATAACTATTAAATAACTAATGATACTAATGA